ATAAATATTTAATATCATATAATTGTTTGGTTATTACATTAGGTTAATACTAATTAAATTAATGAGATTGAGCCATTTATATTATTAATTACCAATAGCTTGGCTGACATTCCTATCCGAGTTTTCTTCAATCTCTCCATGTAATATTTGTAAAATAGCAGCAAAATTTGTAATGACAGCGTCACAGTTTTTATATCTACATACCCAACGTGTATCTGACATATGGATCATAGTTTTATTTTTCATGCCTAACTCCTTTTGAACTTCTTGCAACTTCTGATTCTTTGAAGGAAATGCAAAATGAATGTATATAGATTCTAATATGTTAAATAAATTTCTTGCATCCTAATTAAATTTATAAAATAATAATTGTTAATTTTAAAAATCATAGCTTTTTAATGACATAATACAATTAAATAGGTACCTACTTTGATATTTTTACACATATCTACAACAACTAAGTTTAATCTATGCGCCATGCAATGTGTATAAATTGCTGTAGGGAATTTATTTTTAATTTTTGCTTGCACGCCYCCCAAATGGCCAGACATGACACTAGCTCCGTCATGTGATTGGGCAATAACATGAGAATCTCCTATYTTAGATTTTTGTAAAAAATTCAAAATCATTGTAGCGAGAAAGTCTGCGTCATGACCTTTAGAAACTTCTAAGAATCCCAAAAACYGTTCGTGTATATCGAGATCTTTAGCATACCTTAAACACACAGACATTTGCTCACCTTTGAAACTCCTAAATAAGATAACAAACTATATTAATTTAGCACTTTATATTTTTACAATTAAATACTGTTATTTGGTATTTATGAGTTGTATATAATATATTTAAACTAATTWCCTAGCTTCATCACACATTAAAGCGAAAAATCCATTTTTCTGTACTTCTAAAATTATTTTGTCTCTAACCATTTGAGCACAAATACTTAAAATTTGGTTTTGAATTGACCAACTGGAATAATTAGTTGTACAGTTAAATTTTTTGGCAAATTGTTGATCAAATTTTTTTAGTAAATGACAAGCCTCTTTGAAATTTCCTGTAAAAATGACATATTTGTTATGAGTTTTTAAAAAAATATTTGCTTATTTTGAGCACTTGGTAGGTACCTTGGTTCAAAGAGTCTTTATCTTCAAAGTGGCCCCGAAGTGGGATTCCTTGGCGACTCAAATATAACAAAATTTCAATTAGTTTTGTTAAGTATTCTCGATTTTCATTTACTTCTTTTTGATGTCCTTCTGATAGCTTAGAGACTACACTACCTTTGGATTTACTTGACAAATAAGAAGTATACTTTGTCTTGTTAATCAAGTGTTGTTTTGAAGAAGAATGTGAGTTACACTTCTCTCTAATCTAATTGTCCATAATAAGCAATATCAAATTATTATTTACACAATAATACAGTATTGATTATAATGAAAAATTGCATATATAAATATTATCAAAATAGAATACAAGTAATAATAACTACTGTCTACTAGGCATTCTWTAGCTATGAATGCATTTTTTAGGTAACTGGTTAAAACAGTAKGTAACTTACTTTTCTCCAATTTTGAAACCCCTTAGTAGTGAAAGTGTCAGTGTCTTCATTATAATTTCCCAAACCAAATATTCGACAAAAATAACAAAATACCAAATCTTTCCTCACACTATATTCAAGCCAATCATAATTAGAATACAGTTTGYTTGAAAAAGACCTGTTTTGAATACCAAATTTGGTTTTGGGATATACCTAAAAAAAAATTTTGTTAAACCTTGTTAAACATTTTGAATTTGTTTAGTTCAAGGCTACTACCGTTACTTAAATTTAAAAAAGTGTGAAAAGTGACTTGATTTTTTTGACAAAATATCATATTGTCACTTTTAATTGAATATTAACCAGATTTAAAATTGAATGATTAAAATAAATTAAAATGGTATGTTCAACTTTACTATATTATTACTTTGATAACAAGTTAGGTACCTAAGTCTCAGCTTTTAATAAATCAAGTTACATTACCTATATTGTCATCAATTAATATTATATAATTTAAATTAAATTTAAATCAGTCTTTCTTGACCTAATTTATAACATAGTTATTTAATTGACTTACAATTAATAATAAAAAAAACATTATTTATATTTTAACAAAAAATGTTAATATTTATGTTTAC